ATCAATTTGTGTTATGTTAAGCCTAGCTGCAAGCTTGAATCTAGAGATTGACAGCTAGATGTCAAGACTGCCTTTCCCTATGGTGATTTGGAGGAGTATGTATATATATATATATATACATATATATATATATATATATGGAAAAGATAGGATTAGCCCACTAGCTCATATGAACATATGAGCCCAACGACCCAAATTGAATCTGGGCCGATCTGACGATCACAAATATCCGATAGTGTTTGAATTTTTTTTTTTTGTACATATGCAAATAACTTGAAATTTTAGGTGTGTTTTCTTCTCATCAAAGCACACCTAATAAAAATATAAAAAAAATTATTTGTAAAAACAAATGACCAAAATGCCCCTCAAAACTTTTCACCGTATTTTGGTCATTTTATTTCATGTAAAATATTTTTTTGATATTTTTCGAAGATTCAACTATCTTTTATAAACACACGCCTAAAATTTCAAGTGATTTGGATCAGTAGATAAATAAATAAAATTCAAGCACTACCGGACATCCGTGATCGTCAAATCGGCCCAGAATCAATCTGGGACATTGGCCTCATATGTTCATATGAGCTAGTGGGCTAATCTCATCTTTTCCCATATATATATATATAAAAAGGTTCCAACCTTAAAATGTAGAATTACATATGCGCCTCAAAATCCATTGAAAAAAAATCTTTTTAATGTTGAAAAACGCTCTAATTGATTGTCTCGGCATCGAGATATAGGAATATGAGAAAAAAAAAAATAGTTTGAGCCCCAGAAATAGTGCATTTCACAACACATTCTCTAGACCATTCATTTTCAAGTTTTTGATATATTTATAGATCTACTTGATTTTAACCATTTTTGGATTTTAAAATTTTATAATTAGATTGTTTAAGGTTGCAACCTTATAGAAACTACACCATATATGGTTGCAACCTTAAACAATCCAATTAAGGCGCACCTCCAAATTTTATCATAACACGTAATTTTGGTGTAAAAAATTCTTAAGATTATCTGCAAATTCTTAGGATTCTTGTATGGAATAGTCAAAAGTGTTCAAGGTAAAAAGAAAAAAGTACATGATTTGCAAGCAGAAAATTAGCCTCTATGGGTTGAAGCAAGGCCCAAGGTAATGGTGAAAGAAACTTGCTTACTTCATGGGGAGTCTTGGGTACAAGAGAACAACCTTAAACTATTGTGTTCGTCAAGAAGTTTTCTGATGTTGACTTTATCATCCTTTTACTCTATGTTGATGGCATGCTGATTATCGGTTAGGACATCAACAAATTGACAAGTTGAAGGAACAATTGAGTAATGCCTTTGCCATGTAGGACTTAGGACCTGCTCAATAGATTTTGGTCATGAAGATCTCTAGCTATAGGAAGGCAAGGAAGCTATGGTTGTCACCAGAAATGTACATCGAGAAAGTGCTCGAAAGGTTCAATATGAATAAGGCAAAACATGTGGGTTCTTCACTTTGTTGTCACTTCAAGTTAATTGTCAATTTGAGCCCTTCAAACTAGAATAAGAAGGAAGAAATGTAGAAAGTACATTAAGCATCGGCAGTAGGATGTTCATGGTGTGCATGAGGCTAGATATTGCACATGCAGTTAGTGTAGTAACCAGATCCTTCACTAATCTGACAAGAAATATTTGGGAACAGTCAAAGTGGATTTTTAGACATCTCAAAAGAAAATTCGAAGTGTTTTTATGCTTTTGGGGGAGGTAAACTTCTACCTACACAACGTTCACACATGCAAACATGGCTGGAGATATAGACTCCAGAAAGTCAATTCACTTTTGTACGGGGAGGTGTATCATGCCAGTCCAACCTGTAGAAAGTGTATGGTTCTATCGATCAAAGCTAGAGTATATGGCAGTCACAGAAGCTTGCAAGGAGATGTTGTGGATGAAGAGGTTCTTCCAAGAGCTGGACTTGAAACTGGATAAGTATAGAGTCCACTGTGATAGTCAAAACGCTATTCACTTGAGTAAGAATGCTAGCTTCCAGTTAAGGACAAAATACATTAACATGTTGTTGGGTTATTTTTTTCACACAAATTCAGGGAGCAAACATATGAGGGGATGTGCAGCCAATGGATACGATTAATCCTAAGATTGAAAGGAAATAAAGATCAAATGGTCGTCAAGCGCATATAGGCTTAACGGGTGGAGGGACAATAAAGGACATGATTTCAGGATGCATCTACAATATACACTTCAAATATCATACACATGGTGCAATATAATCAGGATTTACCATCAAGGGCCCTAATATGCCTTGAAATCCTTGACAACTGGTTACCCTATACCTTAATGACCAAACCCACTCCAAGACTGTCGAAATATCTCAATATGAGACTAAACTCTGGCAAAGATAGCTTGTCCAAGGAAGGATTGAAATGCGATTCAATTGGTTCCGTATAGAAGAGGCGAATCAGGGCACGTCACAAGAGCCAGGCAAGTTTGTGCTACCAAAATTTATTGCTTCACCTCCTAGAATAGGGAGCTATTCCGAGCTCTGAGAGCAAAGCTCACGGGGCAAGGAAGGCCCAATTAGGAGAAAGTGTACTTTGCATGCTTTCTTGCTACCTATGTTATTCCAGGACGGAGCCAGCCATCGGCAATATAGCCATAACGTGTCTGGACACCATTTGATAAGATCTCTTGATCCACCATCGGTCAAGACATGCCTTACCCTGTGGACGCACTCTGGATACGTGGGAAACTTGGAACATTTGGAAAAATTATATTTTCTTATCAAGATTTCAGCCTTATAGGAGATGACTTGATCCCTTTTCTACTCCCTCTGGCAGTCAAGACCCATATATGATCTCTCACAGATAAGATGACCTACTGTCACTAAAATTGAGATTTCTCCTGAGGGCTCCTCATATGAAAGCAGTTGGGGATGGAATAGAGGTTATAAAATTGTTCCAGATCTTAAATGACAAACCCTCATATCTCCCAAAATAAATGGAATTTTGCTACCAAATTTGATGGGATTGTTCTCATGACATTCTCTACCACATATTCAAGTCCCATTCTCAACATGTTTTTGTGATTAACACGGTTTGACCCACAATGGACTGATTTGCTGCCCAAACCTGCAATGGAAAAGCCTCAACTTTGAAGAGGCATATCTCTCTCAATATTGAGATGAAATTTGAAGCACTGGATTTCTCCTTGAGTCCTATATCTACCTACCAATTTTCAAGGTCAAAGGATTCCCTACCAAGAAGTGACATCCGTTGAAGTGGAACATGTTCGAACAGGCTAACAGTCTTAACCTACAAATTGGGTGGAATAACCAACTCCCTAAATTTTGTCCTAGCAAGGCCTGTTAACAACATGTTTATTTTGACTTTAGCTTCAAAATAATTAAAGTTTATATATTAGAGCACTTTGCGAAAGATTTGAAATAAAATAGGATTCAAGCCGATACTATGTAATAATCACATGTGAGGGGAGGGTCCAACTACTTGATCTTGTGGATAATCTCTATTGTATTCACCCTTATCAATTTAAACTCTTTATAAAAATAGTATCTATCACGCAATGGAGGGGAAATGAGCCTGTAGAGGCTTGCATGTATATAACAAAAAAAAAAAGGTAGAGAGAGCGACTTCCCATACATATAACATTTTCCTACACGTTTAGAGAATGAAACTCCCAATAAAGTGACTTTCTCTGCAATGTGTGGACATAGAGAAAGAAAATACTTAACAACCATTCTCGCTCAAAGTCTAGATTCAGGAAGGAGCAGAGGGATAAGTGGCATCCCTGCAAATAGACAGATATAAGGGCATATGCATCCCTTGGTCCTGATACTTTCCTATTTCTTTTGTATTTTTTTTTTCTTTAAGTTTGTATATGCCTTGAGGCTTCGAATAAAAGGCATATGAACATGTATATCAATTTGAAGTAAATTGTAACAAGGGTTGAAAGTCCTAGAGCTCCTACCCAACCTATATAAAATAACTCTTGCATTTCCATTATATGAAATTTATTCTATGAGATGCATATTTCTCTAGTTGTTTCTTGTCATATTGGAGTCATGATCATATGAATTTCACCTACATAGTTTTCGAGAAATACATGCGTTACCATTGGATTCAAGATGTCTTAGAGAAGAAGTTGTTGCAGTTAGAGAAGATCCATACCAATAAGAATATGTAGGATATTGATGACAAAGACCTTGGCTCAAGACAAGCAGAAGTTGTGCAGAAGCATGGCTGGTATAAGGTGCATTTCAGCACCATGCTAATCTGTAAAGGAATAACCTCCCTCATGGGACAGGGGAGGTTAATTGTTAGGAGAGTCATGTCCCATGCCAAAAGGACCTCCACGATATTACCTCATTGTGGATGGGCAGTTTTAGGATTCTACCAATTGCTTGCAAGGCAAGTCATTTGAAGGTCTTTAAAAAGGCCCATATGATGGTTTAGGGTTTCTTTTAAGTAGTTCTTCTTTAAGCCTCTTGGAGAGAGAAATAGCCAAGGCAACAAAAGCTTCTAAAAGAAGTTTGAGAGACTTGTACCCTAATAAAAAGCTTGCCTCTTGGAAGAAGGTTCTATTCCATTATTTTTAGCCATCTCTTTCTCCCGTAGATATAGCCTAAAAGGCGAATCATGTAAATCTTGTATCCAGTCTTTTAATTATTTATTTATTTACTTTATTGCAGGTTTTTCCCACTCACACACACACACACACAAAGTACTTGGTTTTTTTATCCCATAAGAATGTGGGTAAGGTCAATATCACCAAAAAGGGTAGGGTTATTTTGGTAAATTTTGAGTAAGTCGTCTTTTTTATATTCTCAAGGCACCTAGGTCAATTTCAAGTCCATCAAATTTATAAAAATATAACAATCAAGCAACACCAATACATGTATGGCATCAAATCAAGACAGATTGAATCCAGGCCATCTAGCCAATAGTATTCTACAAGGAGGGCGGCCTATATTATATTTTTCCTTAAAGGTGAGGCACTCGATTGTTTACCTTCATGTATACATCGATATCAGGATCTGGTTTTATGTTTGCATCCTTCTCTCTTCTGGACAACTCTACCAACATATCTGCAAAATTTTGAAATAAGCTTTCCAATTTGTTATATCTATTTTTTTCTCTTTGTTAAATTTTTAGAAAAATTGTTATTTGTAAGAAAAGTATGCAATAAGACTAATTGTCTTTAGTAAAAGAAGGTTAAAAGTACTTTTAGCCGTTAGATGTGAAATTGGGTGGTTGAAAGTTTGTTATTAAGCTTTTCCAAAAATTTAAGGGTGTAGTTTGCATAAGGTTGCAACATTAAACAATCAAATTAAGGTGCATCTCCAAACTTTGTCATGAGTTGCAATTTTGGTGTTGAAAATTTTTAGGATGGTGTGTGAATCTATTTTTATCTCTAATTATAAACTTTTGAACTCCATAAATGGGTCAAATCAAGCAAACCTATAAACACATGAAAATCTTGAAAATTCGGTCCAGATAATGTATTGCAAGATATTATTTTTAGGACCTGAAATCTCTTTTTGTCCATATCTATACATCTCAATGTCGAGATGGTCAATTAGATATTTTTCCAACATCAAAACAACCTTTCTTGGAAGATTTTAGGGGTGGACCTTAATTCTTGGACTTGTGAAATATCCCCTAATATAACATCCAATAACTAGAAGCAATTGTTCAAAAAATTGACTTGCCCAAGGTACTCAGACCCTAGCCGAGGCGAGTCACTCGGTTGAGTCCGAGTAACTCAGCTGACTTCATATCATACTAAAAAAAAATGGGAATAATAAATGTATATAAGGTTTATATATAATAAAATACCTAGACTTAACAATAGTATGCAAGTAGCTTCCCGGTAAATTACAGCAGCGCCTTTTTACAAGCGGTCGAGGCCTCAAATCCTGCCCCTTGCACTACTTGAGTCCATTGCTTTAAGACATCGATTTTTTTATTACATTGTTTTTTTTTAACTAAATAAAAGACGTCGTTTTTTTTAATAAAAAGAAGGAGATGAGGTTTTGAACTGCAGATATGAGGTAGCATCAATGTATGTAGTAGCCAACAAGCCACTTAAGCGCATGATGCATAAGATTGCGAATAAGAATATATAAACAAAATCACGACATGATAATCGACTTTACCCATAAGACGAGGCCGAGTAACTCGGTCGAGTCCGAGTCACCTCGGTCAAGTCCAAAAACGTTAACTAGAAGTGATTGTGACCTTCTTGTACCATAAATAAATAGTAGGATTTTACTCACCATAGTTAGCTCCAATACCCTGGCATCTTGCTGAGAAAGCTAAAGTTTCTCTTACTGTCATCTCCCCTATATGGAGATCATGCTGGCTGATATAAGCTGAGGTCCTTTGAGGAACAAACTCATTCATCTGATAACCATTATAAGTAATTCTACCAGAGACCTGATTTTTAATACACAGAAAAACCATTTCAAATAATGGCTCCAAAAGTGCAATGAAATAGACGAGATTATAATTAAAAACAAAGTTGTCATCAAATTGGAAACCTCAAGATCTGACTCAAGTTTTCCTGCCAAAGCCAACAGTAGAGTTGTCTTCCCAGAACTTGGAGGGCCTAAAAGTAGTGTCATCCTGCAAAAAAGTCATAGAAACATTCATTCTTAAATCCAAATGTGTGTGTGTGTGTGTGTGAGAGAGAGAGTGCGAGAGAGAGAGAGATTTTGAAAGTTCGAAATGTCTCACCTGCCCGGTTTTATTATACCACTCACATCATGAACTATAGATAGTGGCTTCCTTTTAGTTGGAAGAATATGCAATGAGTTCAGAAATCCCTATATTCATAATTAGAATCAGAAAAATGTGTATTTTTCATCTATGAATTCTTATTCAACAGAGAGTAATGAATTACCCAGTCTAATCCTCTTAAGATTTTTACATAATTTACCTCAATCACATTGAGAGTAAAATTGAGTATTGTAGGAAGGCCTCTTTGGCCTACAAAAACTTTGGCATCAATACTCAAATGCTCGAACCGAACTTCAATGGTTGGTATATCAATTCCCACTCTGCAAAAAGAAGTTCACCAGGAAAAGCTCAATTCGACATGAAAGGAAGAGACAGAAAAAGAAAACCAATATGGGATTCTTATTAGAATTTGAGAGGGATGAAATTGCAAAGTAGAGAAAAAGGTATGCCATTTTTTTTGGGTATTTCATAGAACAGGTGCAACATCATGATGATCTCTGCCCACATTAGAGATGGTTTCTAGGCAATATTACACCAAACGAAGTAGTGTTTCAAAACTCAGTGAGCTCAACTCGGAACTAGGCAAGTCACTTAGATCCAGTGTAAGAAAACACTGCCCAGGAATGACCAGGCCTGGGTAACTCGGAATAGACCCGGGTACCCGGACCTAAGGCTGGGCTAAAAAGGGTTACTTTTTTTTTAAGAAAATCTCAAAAAATCCCCAAAAATATGAAAAATATGTTTGAAGTATAATAAAACAAATTACATCCAGATGACATTAAAAAAATAATAATAAAATGGATTTTGAAAAATCAATTTGTGTCCAAGAGTATTTAGAAATAATCTTAAAAAAACAGAAAAAATCTTAAAAGCATTTATGGTCAAAATATTTTTCGATCTTTTTTCAAAACAACGAAAAATGTTAAAAAAAACTAATTACAAATAAATTTCTTTTTTGGAAATTTTTTTTTTAATTCCTTACTTGACCATCCTTACTTGACCACCCTAACTGGCCAAAACCGACCACAGCCAGTGGCCGGTTCTTGGTAACCAGGTCGGGTCCGGGTTAACCCGGATGGTGTTGCACTTGGACCCACCCAACACCAACCTTGGGAACAAGCCAAAGACTGGCTGGCTTCTAGAATTTTATTTATTTGAAGAGTTGGCCAAGTAAGCTATCGAGAGAGAAAATGTAGATACGAGAGAGAGAGAGGAAGATTGTGAGTTTTAATATTTAGAGATATGATAGGTCGACAATCAGATTTTTTCACCATTAATATTTCACAACTCCAACCCTAAGAATGACATTTAAAGCACGCTCAGGCAACGATGCCTAACCGAAGTTTAGAGAGAGGAAATGAAACCATGAGATTGAGAGAATTAGGGTGACCGCATTTTTTACAATATGCAGCCCCAATGTATAAATAAAGCATCCGTCTTAAAAGATGGATGCAAATAGGTGATCCACTTAAAAATAATTGAAACTAAGGGAGGGATGACGTATCTTTAAAATTTAAGTCCAAAAATCCATCTCAAAAATAGACTTTTAAGAGTTGACTCAATTCTACATAGACTCATAGTATTTTTAAAATTTAAGTCCAAAAATCCATCTCAAAAATAGATTTTTAAGAGGTGACTCATTTCTACATGGACTCATAGAGACCGAGTCCTCTTAAGAATTCCCAACTGTTAAGGAAGAAATGTAAAATGCTCATTTTTAAAATATAAAATGTGTCTCGAATAATATGAAATGCACCTCAAGGGCTTTTTCACCCTGTCATGCACACAAAAAGCATGCTCACTCCCTTGTGTATTCAAGGGAAATAGAAGTAACTCATGCACTTTCTCTCCTCGCAAAAACGGTTGAATTATACAATGCCCACTACTTAAAATAAGGCAAAAATAAAAAAATACTTTTGAAAATATTAGTACAAGGTACATATTATGCTATAGTCATAGTGGATATGGTTTGTATAGAGCCAAGGCTCTAAACAATCAAATTAGAGCTCACCTTTGAATAGTGTCAAAAAATGTGGTTTCAATACTAGAAATCTATGTGATACCTTTAAAACATATTTTTAGTTTTTATTTATATAATTTAAAGCTTCAAAAATAGTGTAGATTTATGAAAACTTGATAATCTTAAAAATTGACGGTCCAAAAATACGTTACAAGATGGACTATTTCTAAAACTTGAAATCTATTTTTTTTCTGGTGTCCATACAACAATACGGTACATATGGACTATTTCCAAAACTTGAAATCCATTTTTTTCTCATGTCCATACATCTTGATTTTGAAATCCATTTTTTTCTTATGTCCATACATCTTGATGTTGAAATCCATTTTTTTCTCATGTTCATACATCTTGATGTTGAGATGAAGACATTTGGACATCAAAGCAACCTCTTTTAGTGAAATTTTAGAGCAGTTGTTCGTTTGAGCCTCAGCTGCATATAAGTTTTTTCCACAGTTATTTATTTTAAAATAAAACTATTTTTGCATAACTATTTTCTTATGCAGAACAGTAGCTCTTACTGATGCACAAAATTTATTAGCATGCAAATATATATATACAGAGAGATAGAGAGAGAGTTAATGTAGGTGGTCTTACTGGTCTATACGGTTCTTGAGCTTACGAAGGAAGTTCTCATTGTCCTTCTCTGCAACTCTAATCAGCCTCTCAATCAGTTTCTTCTTTTCCTGTAACCCGAGGCTCTCGATCTCGATTTCTCTTCTCTCACCCTTCGAGGAGGTGAGAATCCCTTTTCGAATCCTATCATGCGTAGGTAATCTTTCGAGTGCAGCCCACCTTAATGCTTCTTCATCGTCTTCTCCATTAGAAGACCTTGAGAACAAGCTTATGCTCCCTACTCTGAAAAGATCAGCATTATCCATCAGAACCACCAACCAAATTCACTAGAATTTTCTATTTCCTCTTGTCTCTCTCACTAAATCTTGCAATGGGATTTATTCAGAAAATCCGATCTTTTTAATTGATAACACTCGGAACTTCTGTCTCTTCAAGTTGCAGCCCTTGGACGATGAATTCCCAGACATGGGTTCAGCTAAAATCCATGGAAAATTGGATTCTTATGGTTATTTCAAGCTCCCAGCTTCTGTCACAGCACTAAAAAAAACACCAAAAAACTTCTCTCTCTCTCTCTCTCTCTCTCTCTCTCTCTCTCTCTCTCTCTACTACTATATATACTACCTACCTAAACAAACGAACGAAAAACGTAAAGTAGTACGTTACTTACGTATTATTATTAGTACTACCTACCTACTACCTACTACGTACTAACCAAAC